GCTGCAGGGGGAGAGTAGGGGGGAGCAATGCCACGCTGCAGCTACCCTTGCTGTGAAGCAGTGAGCAAAGCCTCTTCTGGGGGTGGAGTTGCCCCTTTCTTCCTGTTGTGGATGGTGTTCAGCTGGAGGACATTTGGGGTGAGGGGCTATGGAAATGATGTGCTGCTACCCTCCCTTGCTGTTGAATTGAAACGTGCTCCCTGTGACTGAGGCTCATCCTAGTGCTGCCAAAAGAGCCTGTGGGCTGCTGGTGCATGCTGCATAATAGCATTAATGTGTTGTGACTGATGGTGGCTTTGCACTGGTGAAGGACACTGCTGTGAGGCTTACAGCACTGCTGTCACATGCAATGCCCTGGTCTTTGGGGCTGGCCGTGCTCTGGGGTCTGAGATTTGTGTCCTTTTCCCTAGGAGCCTGAGGCATGTGTGATTCCTGGAGAAGGGAGGGGAAGCAGTTTTCTGGGGACACCCTGTCTTGCAGGCTGCCTGCTGTGCCAGCCTGCCTGTGTCAGTTGGTGGTGATGAAGCCAGAACAAAGAGCCCTCATTTTCTAGAATTTCGCCAGGGCTTGGATTACAGGAGTGTTTGCCATGCGCTGAGGTGCAGACCCTGCTGAATTTAGAAGCAAGGACCTGTCTCCCTCAAATGGGAGTTGAGGACCTGGTGTACATGCCCTGGCTAAGCTTCAGCTGTGGCCACTTCTGTTGCAACAGAGAGCTTCCTTGGTGGAGCTGGGGGCTGAATGGGGGGGGACAGGGAACACCTCTGAGCCCCAGAGTTAGCCTGTTCTTCCTTTGTCCTCCCAAGCATCACAGTGGTCACCTGGAATGTGGGCACAGCCATGCCGCCGAATGATGTGACATCCCTGCTGCACCTCAACACGGGCGAGACAAATGATGTGGACATGATTGCCATTGGGTAAGAGGGTGAGGTGCAGGGCCCCAAGTCCCACCATGTCCCTTTTTGGGGGGGATCCCCATAGCCCTGGAGGGTGGGGAATGGAAGAACTGCAGCCTCAGCCTCCCTGGGGCATGGTGAGCAGAGAGGGGTGTGCATTGCAAGTGGTAAAATATCAGAAAAGGTGATGCAGCTGGGCCTCTGTGAGTGCTACTCTTGCCGTGAACCCTGGCAGTCCTGGGGTCAGGTCTGTAGAGGCATCTAACTTGCCTGCCAGAGTCCTCTGGGAGCATTTGCCTCATCTTGGCTTTTGCCTATGGTATGAGAGGCCTTAAGGGCACAAATCTGCCGTTCTCTCACAGCTGGATTGGCTCTGTGCCCCTGGCAATACTTAACTGCTGGCAAGGCAACGCTGTGTTGGTGTGGTAGGGCTTTATTGATGAGGCTGGCAAGGCAAGCTCTGCCAGAGTCTAAAGGAAAACTGGTCCCTTGAGGTTTGCTGTGGTGTGGATTCCTGCGAAGACAAGGGACATGCTGCCTTTGCACAGGGAGCGAGAAGCAGCCTCTGTGTGTGAGGTGGAAGAGCTGGATCTGCCTCCAGGAGGCTTCCAGGGATTCCCACAGTGCTCCTTGCCCCAGGGAGGGCTGAGGCTGCTGGAGCTACGGTGCTGTGTTGGAGCCAGTCTCCTGGTCCCCTCAGCCTTGTGGACCAGCAGGATGGGGCTGTGTGGGGCTGTGGAGGTAGACCCAATCCTGGATGGATGGAGCAGGGGGTGTAGCTGACAGCTGGGACTGTGTCTTGGCTGGGGCAAGGTATCCTGCTGTTCCCCATCTCCAGGGTATCTCTGCCTGGCTACGTCCTTCCTTTGACCCATGTCTTTGTGCCCCAAGAACTCAATATTTTGGGGCAAGACATTTCCTGATTCTGCCGTTCTCTGCGGACATTCTCCCTCCCTCTCTTCACTAATTGCTGAGCTGGGAGGAGCACTATTAACCTTCTGTTTGCTGCTGCTCTGAGTCTGGGGGTTAGGATGCATCTGGACACCCTGCGCTGAAGTACCCGTGAGACTTGGCTTCTCTGTAGAGACCAATGCATCTGAAATGTCCTGTAAACCCCTCTTGTACGTAGAGACAGGCTTTAGACTGCTGCCCAGCCCTGTGCAGCTGAACTGCTCCTGTTCTAAAAAGGTCCCAAGATCTTGTGGGTTCAGGGCCACTTGTGCCTTCTGCTAGCACATGGCCCAGCATTGCTGGAGCAAGGATATGGCTGGTTTGTGTGCTAAACCCAGGGTTCTCCCTTGAACTGCCTTTCTGTCCTGGCCCCACTCTCTAGCACTGTGCTGTGGCACTTCTCTCAAGGAGCTCTTACTAGCTGGGACACAGACACCTTCCTGTTGTGGCTGAGGGACCTGTCCCTTTCCTCCCAGGCTGCAAGAGGTGAACTCCAAGATAAACAAGCGCCTGAAGGATGCCCTCTTCACAGATCAGTGGAGTGAGCTCTTCATGGATGTGCTGAGCCCCTTCCACTTCATCCTGGTAAGAAGTTCCTAAAGGGGCTGGGCAGCTGGTGTTCCCTCTCTGCCTGCCAGGCAGGTAGACCATGGGGAGGGAGAGTTGGACTGCAGGGACAGAGAGGGGAGGTGCCATGGGAGAGCTGGCTGGAGGGACAAACTGCTGGAGGGACAGCCTGCAGCCATCCAAGCAGTATGTGGGGGGTGACTTGAGGGCTAGTGGTGCATCTTGCCAGTGTGCTGTCTAGCCTGTGCCACCCTGCTCCCTTTCCTGTGCCTTAGGTTTCCCCTGTGGTACTTTGGGGACCCTTCTTGTTGCCTGCTGCATTGCACCAGGGTGAGGAGGTGAATGTGGGAACAAGCCTGTGCTTCTGGCGGCAGCCTGCAGGTCCCAGGACAGGTTCAGGTCCCCAGCGCACTGGCCCCAGAGCATACATTGCTAGGCTTAGCTGTCAGTATTCAGGAGGGTGTGCATAGATCTCTGAACTAAGTGTGCTGTTAGTCATCTGCAAGATGGGGGGCATGCAGAGGATAGAGGTGCTGCCCCTATGGCCTAGAGGTGGGGGAAGCCTGCCCTTGTCCCTGTGGGCTCTGCTGTGACTACCATCCTGCCTCAGCCCCTGCTCCCATTCCAGGTCAGCACGGTGCGGATGCAAGGTGTGATCCTACTGGTATTTGCCAAGTACTATCACCTCCCCTTCCTGCAGGACATCCAGACAGACTGCACAAGGACGGGGCTGGGAGGCTACTGGGTGAGTGTGGCCCTGGGGAAGGTGGTGAAGGACTGACTTCCCAAGGAGTCACGGGATCCTCTTGGTGCAGGGCAACAAGGGTGGGGTGAGTGTTCGTCTCTCCATCTTCGGCCACATGGTCTGCTTCCTGAACTGCCACCTGCCAGCGCACCTGGAGAAGGCGGAGCAGCGCAAGGAGGACTTTGCCACCATACTGCATGTGCAGCAGTTTGAGGGGCATGTGGCCAGCGGCATCCTGGACCATGAGTACGTATCCCACTACTTTGCTCCCCAATCTGGACAAGGGCTCTAGTGTCAGCCCCTGTCCTTGACCGCCTCCAAATAGGGTTTGGGGTCTGTCCCCTGAATTCCCAGCACAGCTTGGAGATGGTGTCTTGCCTGCAGAGCTGCAGAATTGTCCTGTGGCCCAGTGGGGACCCAGCATGGTGGGGTAGGTGTTAGGGAGGGGTCCTTGGTCTCCCCTGGGGCACATCCAGGCCTGGTGCAGCTCCTGCCATACTGGCACTGATGGGGTTTGGGACTGGCTCTGTCCCAGTGTCTCGGCTGTGCAGTATGACTCCTCTAAGTTCCTCACAGTGGAAATTTCAACCCTCAGTTTCTTCCCTGGGAAGTCAGACCTGTTTGGTTAATGGTGCTTGGTCCTACCTGAATCCTGGCAGGGCTGTTAGCTGGCCAAGCTGTCAGCTGAGTGCTGACCTGCACTGGTGCTCCTGAGAGTGCCTGTGCTGCAGTCTGAGGCTGCCCACAGGCTGAGTATGTTTTCCCGCTGCTGTGCTGCCTGGCTCCGGTAGCCTTGGCTCTTCTAGTCCATTGCCTTCCCTCCCACCCACAGCCTCGTGTTCTGGTTTGGGGACCTCAATTTCCGCATTGAGAGCCTTGACATCCGCTTTGTGAAGTATGCCATCGACAGCAACATCCTGAGCCAGCTCTGGGAGAAGGACCAGGTAAGAGGAATGGGCATGCTGCTGAGCCTCAGCTGGGCCATGAGTGGCATTTGGCTCTTGCCAAAACTGTCTTTGCAGCTGGGGGACAGGGAAGGTCCCCTTGCTGCCCATGGGGCACAAAGGGCATTGGCTCTGTGGGGAAGGGGCAGCACAGTCCCAGAATGGTCTTTATGGGAGCTAGGCATATGGTTTCTTTATCAGTGTGTTAGGAAGAGCTGAGGGTATTTGGTCTATGACTTGCTGCTTGATTGGCATGGGCAAACCCCAAGAGCTGTGTGGGGCTGGCAGGGATTGACTGTGTGCTGGGGTGGAGAGGTCTTGGGGTCTTGCAGAGGGGTCTGGTGTGCTCCCTGACCTGCTCCCTTTCCCACAGCTGAACATTGCCAAGAGCACCTGGCCTGTCCTCAGTGGCTTTCAGGAGGGACCCCTGAACTTCCCACCCACCTTCAAGTTTGACGTGGGCACCAACAAGTATGACAGCAGGTAGGAGAGCAGAGCTCAAGCATGTGCTGGGCCTGGGAGCAGGTGGCATGGCTGAGGGATGCAGGAGTGGTGGGGCTCAGAGCCAGGGTGGGTGTGGGTGCTGGTGCTGCTGGGGCAGGGGCTGATACTGGGACAGATGTATGGGGGGCATGGGCTGGACCGGGGGTGGCAGGCTGGGACACAACTGTCATGCTGGTGCCAGCACAGGTCTGTCCCTGCAGCTGCACTGAGCTATGTGCCAAGGCAAGCCACATCCCCTGCCTGTATGTGCTGTAGTGCCAGGGGGAGGCAGTTTGGGGTGCAGCCCACTGCCCCCTGCCAGGCAAGAGATGCCCCTCTGTGCCCTGCAGTGCCAAGAAGCGAAAACCTGCCTGGACTGACCGCATCCTCTGGAAGATCAAATCTCCCAGTGTCAGGCTTGGTGTGGGTGGGTGCCAGCCCAGCCAGGGCATTGTGTCGGTGAGCCAGCTCTGCTACTGCAGCCACATGGAGTACACTGTCAGTGACCACAAGCCAGTAGCTGCCATCTTTGCAGTGCAGGTGAGCACTGTCCAGGGCCACTGGGCACACAGGCAGGAGCTATGGGGGTGAGATGCCTAGCTATTGTGTGTAGCATATGATGGGGTGTGTGGGGCTTATTTTGTTTGGCAAGCTCATCTGTCTTGCCACTGTTGCTGGGAGCTGCTGTTGGTGTGAGGGCCCAGCCCTCAACAGCAGGGGCAGCTCTCTTTGGCACGTCCTTGTTCACCATGTATGTGTGTCTGACAGTTTGCTTCCAAGGTAGACAAGCCCCTGGTTGAGATTTATGTGGCTGATGAATGGAGTAGGCCTGAGCAAGCAGTTGTCAGGTACAAGATGGCTGCTGGCTTCCACCGGAGCTCCTGGGACTGGATAGGACTATACCGGGTAGGGGCTTGGAGGCTGCTGGAGCTGCTGAGGGAGTGGGGAGCACTACACAGCACTGTGGGGTCCCTTCTGAGCTACCCCCATCAGCAGACATGGGTGCATGGATGGACCTGTGCTCTGCGCTCTCTCTTCCCCAGGAGACCCTGGTAGTTAACAGCAGCATTTGGCCCTGCTTCAGGAGGCTCAGATCCAGCAGTTCCCTCTTCCTCCTGCTCTGTGGGCCCCACAGGGTCCAAAGCCTGGCACTCCCGGAGGGCTGGGGGCCAGGGCACTGCTGTGTGGGTGCAAGGCAGCTCTTCATGCCATTGTGCAAGGAGAGGGGGCTGAGTGAAAGGAGAGTCAAAGCAGGGCTGATGTTTCCTCAGTCACCTGTGTTCTCCTATGTACATGCACACAGGTGGGCTTTCGGCATCCTAAAGACTATGTGTCCTATGTCTGGGCCAGGAGTGATGATGGAGAGCGCTGCCTAGAGAAACAGCTGTGTGCACAGGTGAGCCGAGGGCCAGCCCTGCTGTCTCACTGGACATGTGTGCCCCATGGTGCAGGGGACAATGGCCCCTTTGTTCCCCTGATGGGGCAGGAGGGCACTTCCTTATTGCTTTGTGCTGAGCCTTGGGCAGGCCCACTGTGCTGTCATCGGGGATCTTTGCTCTCAGCTGGGGCTGGAGGTGGGATGGGTACCCCTGTGCCTAGCCATGGTGCCCATCAGCTGTCTCTGGGCTGCAGGTGATGTTCTCAGAGGAGGCGCTGCCCAAGGGGAAGGGCGAGTACATCCTTGGATACTACAGCAACACCTCCAGCAGCATTGCTGGTGTGACAGAACCCTTCCAGGTCAGCATGGCCAAGAGGCGAGGGTGAGGGGCTGAGGGAGGCAAGGGGGATGTGTGTAGGGGTGCTTGGCTGGAGGAGGCCAGCTGCTGTGGTGCCCCGCAGCCCCCCTGTGAGGGTCAGCCAGCAGTGCTGATGCAGGGGTGCAGATCTCCCTGCCCAGATCGGAGGAGGGCAGCAGCCCTACGGACAGCTCGGGCAGCAGCTCAGAAGAGGAGGATGACAGCACGCTTGTTCTGCTTGCCCCCAAATCCCGTAGCCCCAGCCCAGGCAAGATGAAACGGCACCGGAGCCGAAGCCCCAGCCTGGCCAAGTTCCAGGGCCTCATCCTGCGGCCATCAAGCTGGGACAGGGGTACAAGCCGCAGCCCTTCACCCCAGAGCCGCCGAGGCCTCCCTGGGGACATCCCTACCATTCACCTACCCCAGGAAGAGCTGGGGTGCTGTGGAGCCAAAGCCAAGGAGCCAGGGTGGGCAGCTGACAGCCAGGAGGGCAGCTCCTTTTACCAGACTGTGCAGGAGCAGGGTGGCCCCCTGCGCATCTCTACTGACAACCCTGTGGCCAGGGCAGACCCCAGGAACCTGGGCCTGCTGCCTGCGCTCCGCCTGGAGATGATTGACCAGGCCATGGGCCGGCGGAGGGAAAGTATGGACCAGGGCTACCCCTGCTGGAGGGTGAGCCCCACCAGCCCCCCAGGCTGTAGCACCTCCCCAAAGGAGGGGAGCAGCCCCCAGGAGCTGGACAACCATAGTTGTGCCATGGGCCG